CAGAGCTACTGATACTGGTGCCTGAAGGGAAAAGTGTATGCAATTTTATCTTACAAATATGAATACACATTCTGAGAGCTCATTACATTTATAGGCTTATGGTAAGTAAAAGATAAGATTAAGGCTGAGTGGCGATCTCTGTGATTTGCACTCATATTGTATAACAGGTTGGGTATCTATGACTTTGAACAAATTCAGCTACATTAGAAATCTGTTTGCCAATAAAAACAACAATGTGTATATTTTGCTAGATTTAAGATGAAAGAGGATACAATGGGAACTGACCTGACAAAAGTGTCTGGACCTGTGTGAACATGTGTGATATCCAGGTGCTTTGTTGCCTTGGAATATGTTAAGACCACAATCCATCCATCAATTCTTTACTGTATGGGAGCATTATAACCCACTGACAGGATGACACGATTTTGCACAGATATTTTGACAAGTGAATAGCTTAGCAGTATTTAAACAATCCAGTACTTCCAGTACTTGGTGTTATCATTTGATTTAAACACCATCACCTATATGCAGAATGATTTCTTTTTTTATATTGTAGATCTCCAAATGATGTACATTTTTTTTAACTGGCTAAATATTTTTTTTTATTCCATTGAAATATAGGTTTAATCACCTGTTTCTTTTTGGTAGCAAGTTTTGTTTTAATAAATTAAATTTAGCAGTGAGCTTGTTTTATTAAAATGAAAAAATAATCTTAAGTACTGCCTGTGTTATGATTAAAAAATAAATATGTTCAAGGGGAAAAAGCAGGTTTCATTATAAATAAATAGGAAAATCGTTGCAAACTTATATAATTGCTTTAATTTTCTTCCCCCTATGTATCCATTTGACACAATAAAATATGTGTGGCAGGGTATAGTACAGCCTTTCTCAACCAGGGTTCCATGGAATCCTTGGGGTCCCCCAGAGGTTGCTATGGGTTGCTTGAGCAGTGAGCAGTGGAAAACCTGATGGTTATGAGACTCTATAAAATCCAAGTAGAAGCTGAACTCCTCACAGTATCTGACTTTTTAATGATGCATGCTTGATGTGCATGCCATGGATGGTGCCATGTCAGAACCAGATACTAAAATCTGAAGTCACCAACACTCAAAATTAACATTTTTATGTGTTTAAGATAGCAAAAAATAAGGCATTCAAAAAATTGACGATTTGGAGCCTCACAGGGTCCCTTTCTCAAGGAAAAATAGTGACAATAGTCATATGAAACACATTTCATTTGCTGGTGACTTTGCATCTTTGTTTCTAATAGTTATGGGGTCATTACTCAGCAAAACCAGAAGTGTGGTATCAGTGCAGCCTATCCTCTCATCTCTCAGATAAGCAACTTTTTACAGCAATGATCTTCTTGCTGTCTGGAATGATGGCTTTCTTCCAATTGACCACTCTGACCAACAATGTAAAAAGACCCTTTTCCATTCAGCAGCAACATAATGGGGCCCTTATTCATGCTTCACCAATGTAATGAGGCACGTGAACCCCCACTGCCACCTGGTATCCTGGACATAGAATCTGGATCCCTTCAACTTTACAATCATAGTTGAAAATCATTTTGAAATCGAGAGGGGTGGGGGATATTCTAGAGTTGGAGCTTGTCAACAAAGATAGGAGATAGTCCTGCAAGTATCCACATTTCAAACATTTACAAATCTGCATTTTTAGGTGGCATTTTTATAATTTACACTCTTGGATAAAATGTGGCCTTCTTAGAAGGAGTATATGGAAAGCTAAGCATTTTCTCATTGCTGCTATGGTAGACCTGTTTCAAGACATAGGCTGTCAGTTTATAATATTGGCCATCTTGCCCTAGGTACAATTTCTGCTGCCCTTTAGCAGCACATCTGCACCTGCATTATATTTACTTTTGCAAAACCCTTAACAGCAGTTTCACTGACAGCATGATTCATAGGATGAGTGAGACATGTGCAATAGCTGACTGGAATGTACTAGGAGCTACAAAGAAAAACATTTTTGATGTCTTCATTTTCTTCTGCCATCATGTGAGTGTACAAATGATATTTAAAACAAATGAATTGAATGTAAAGTCTTTTCAGTCTTATACATTTACTTATATATTTTTATTAATATACAGTAGTAATTAAAAGGTAGTAATTAAGAGGTAAATTATAGGTGATTCTAGTATAAAAAGTACACCTTTTCTTTAGTCAGGCTGAAAACTGTAATTGATATTGACTTTATTATCTCCTGTTAACAACCAATGCAGACTGTAGGGTTGTTGGGTGGAAGGCTATAGTGCCATGCTGGCTAAGAAAACATATCCCACTGGGATGAGAGCGTTATTAAAATGATATATATATCTATATATATCTATATATATATAGATATATATAGATATATATATATATACTGTATATACTCCTAAATATTTAAATGGAAAGAATTGTGTATTTCTCAGAAAGTTTTTCACAGAATCTTTCGTCATTATCACAGTTATCTGAAGCTACCTTCAGGTGATTGGACATGGCAAAAATAGGGATACTCCCCTATATAACCTGTTCTGTCTCTCCAATCTAAGCATTGACAGTGTGATCTCTGTAACTTACAGTTGTGATGAGATAGCGATAACTTCAACTTCAGTTGGATACCACAGTCAGTGACTCAATGAGAATGACATCGTATAGATCTTGTGGAGTTTATTCCATAAACTGAGAGAATCTTACAAGGATGAACATTCCATAGGTCAAAAGATCATAATGTTTCTGCTCCATGCCATGAGGCTTGCTGCAATGCATCTCTGGGAAAGGGGGAGAGCTATCTATACAGCATTAACTAAAGCAAAAGAAAGGTAGGAGCAAAGACAAGATATAGAAAACTCTTAAAGGCATAGGACAGACAATATGACAGTCATGTGAAACATGACACTCCTCGTCGAAATCTATGATTTCTATTATAATAAACTTTAGTTCAAGTCCAATAAAAAAATGAAGATTATTTCCAGGAACATCTGGAAAACAAGAGGGAAGGGAAGAACAAAGGAAAACAATGCAAACATTTAGCATAATAGTTGCAGATGTTGGTCTCGAAAGTCCAGGCTGAGACATGGAAATCCATATTCAGAGGGGAAGTGTCAGGGAATAAGAAGATCGCCGTGGCGCACGAATCTGCGCATGCGCGGGATCCTGACAAGGCATACAGGTGTGCGGGCACTAGGACCAAGGCGCGCACGGCGGCACTTGCGGCCGCGCATGCGCACTCACACTCAAGGGTGCGCGCCTGTCACCAATGACCGCACCGAGCAGGCTATTTAAATGGGCCACTGCAGGATCCAAATTGCCATACGGTCTTATTCTTCTGCCTGTGATTCCTGACTCTGATTTGTTTCCTGTTGCCGAACCCAGCCTGCTCCTGACTATTGTTGACCATCTCCTGCCCTGACCCCTGGCTTGTCTCTGGATATTCTTCTGCCTGCTCCTGATCATTTGACCTCCTGTTGCTGAACCTGGCCTGTGACCCGACGATCCCTCTGCCTGCTGCTCTGGTCTGCTCTGCCTCCTCGGATACCAAACCCGGCCCGCCTGACTCTGCTACTTGCCTCACGGTGCATCCGCATCCATCCATCCTGCACGGATCCATCCGCATCCTGCTCTGGTCTGCTCTGTCTCATCCATCCATCTTGCATGGATCCATCCGCATCCTGCTCTGGTCTGCTCCTCCCCAGTCCTGCTACTTCACCAGATGGATCCCAGGCCCTCTTACCCCACCGCGCTCCTGTGACTGCTGTTTCACTCTCAGCGGTTCCCGAGCTGGGGTTGTACGAGAGGTCTGCCTCTTCACGTCAGGCTCACTACTAAGGTACGTGACAAGAAGACAGCAACATGCACATTCCTTCTTACCTCCCTTTAAATCAGGTTGATGACTTGCCTTCCTCTGGGCAAAAGAAGTACTAGTTCCTTTAAGTAAAGGTGTGCAGAACCTTCTTTCATGGTGGATATAGCCAAGATGTGTCCCGAAATGCAGTAGTAGGTACTGCATGACTGCCGCGGTCAGCTGGGTTGAGGCTTGTGGGAACATAGTGCATTCTTCAGGCGTAGAGAAGACATGGATCTCTCTTCTGGTGACATTCTTTAAGAATGCTTGGGTGTAAGAGCGTGGTATTTGGAGTTGTTCTAATGCTTTTAGAGACTGTTTCCCAGAATTCCCACCTTTGTTGTTTCTCCTTGGGTAAGGGGCTATCCCAGTCTGAGCTTTCAGAAGTAAGTTGTCTCAGCAGTATCTTACCCTGAATGGTGAGAGGTGTAATGAAACCTAAGGGATCATAAATGCTGTTCACTGTAGACAATACTCCTTGCTTTGTGAAGGGCTTGTCACAGGCTGATGCTTGAAATGTGAATGTGTCTTGTTTAACATTCCAAAGCAATCCAAGACTGCATTGTGCAACAGAAAGGTCAGATCCTAGTTGGTATTTCTTCACACAGACAGCATGGTCATCAGAAGGAAAGGCTATCATGACCTTGTCGCTGTTAGAGATGATTTTGTGAAGTCTGAGGTTTGCAGTGGCAAGCATGTTCTGGGTTCTAGTAAGAAGGTCAATAGCTTGTTCTTCATTGGGCAGAGATTTGAGTCTGTCGTCTACATAGAAATTCCTTTCAATGAACTGTCTTGCATCAGATCCAAATTCTTTCTCACCCTTTTGAGCTGTTTTCCTCCATAAATCCATAAATTGCTACTGCAGGAGAAGGACTGTTACCGAAAACATGTACCTTCATTCGATATTCTATGACTTCATCGTTGACATCATTATTGCGGTACCAGCGGAACCTGAGGAAGTTTCTGTAGTCTTCATGGACAGTGAAACAGTGGAACGTCTGCAGAATGTCAGTCATAACAGCTAGAGATGAGCGAAGTATTCAAAAATTCGATTCGACTGATTCGGCGAATTCGTGGAAAAATTTCGATTTGAGTCGAATATATTCGCTGTGAATTTAACTTAAAAAAGGGTGTTTCTAGGCTTCAGAGAGACTTAATATTAGTGCTGAACACTGTACCTTTAATTTAAATGCCCTTGGAGTCTGCTGGGGAAGAGAAATAATACTGTCAGGCAGTATGACATGCAGATGAGTGCCGTCGATCTTAGAATCACCGCACACTTCACTCATTTGGGCAGTCACGGGGCCAAAACCAGAGTGTGGAGCCACAGTGTGGCGGTGGAGGCAGCAGCAATGGGAGGCCATACAGCACCCTATGACAAAAATGGAAACCACCAGCAGTGTGAGGAGACCTGAAAGTGGCACATGGCAGAGTGTGGCGATAGAGACAGCAGCAATGGGAGGCCGTACAGGGACCCATGACACACTCTGGACCTGGCAGCAGCATGAGGAGGCGTACAGGGGCCCATGGCAGATTACGGGCCTGGCAGCAGCATGAGGAGTCGGTACGGGGGCCCATGGCAGATTACGGGCCTGGCAGCAGCAATGGGAGGCCGTACAGGGACCCATGACACAATCTGGACCTGGCAGCAGCATGGGAGGCGGTACAGGGGCCCATGACAGATTACGGGCCTGGCAGCAGCATTTGGAGTCGGTACGGGGGCCCATGACACACTCTGGACCTGGCAGCAGCATGAGGAGGCGGTACAGGGGCGCATGACAGATTACGAGCCTGGCAGCAGCAACTTGGACAGGAGGACGTTTCAGTTTCTGCACCGTCTGGTGCGTGCTCGCAAACTGTTGTCTCTTGGAAACGGATTCCAAGAAAGACTGCTGACAGAATCCGTGAAGAGGAGTAGCAGGAGAAGGAGCATCTGAACAAGCGGAATATGCCAACAAGCGACAACAGGGGCCCATGACAGATTACGGGCCTGGCAGCAGCATGAGGAGTCGGTACGGGGGCCCATGGCAGATTAGGGGCCTGGCAGCAGCTATGGGAGGCCCGTAATCTGCCAGCACCCTATGACAAAAAATGGAACCCACCAGCAGTGTGAGGAGACCTGAAAGTGGCACATGGCAGAGTGTGGCGATGGAGACAGCAGCAATGGGAGGCCGTACAGGGACCCATGAGAGACTCTGGACCTGGCAGCAGCATGAGGAGGCGGTATAGGGGCCCATGGCAGATTAGGGGCCTGGCAGCAGCTATGGGAGGCCCGTAATCTGCCAGCACCCTATGTCAAAAAATGAACACACCAGCAGTGTGAGGAGACCTGAAAGTGGCACATGGCAGAGTGTGGCGATGGAGACAGCAGCAATGGGAGGCCGTACAGGGACCCATGAGAGACTCTGGACCTGGCAGCAGCATGAGGAGGCGGTATATAGGGCCCTATGGCAGATTAGGGGCCTGGCAGCAGCTATGGAGGCCCGTAATCTGCCAGCACCCTATGTCAAAAAATTCTACACACCAGCAGTGTGAGGAGACCTGAAAGTGGCACATGGCAGAGTGTGGCGATGGAGACAGCAGCAATGGGAGGCCGTACAGGGACCCATGACAGACTCTGGACCTGGCAGCAGCATGAGGAGGCGGTATATAGGGGCCCATGGCAGATTTAGGGCCTGGCAGCAGCTATGGGAGGCCCGTAATCTGCCAGCACCCTATGTCAAAAAATTCAACACACCAGCAGTGTGTGAGGAGACCTGAAAGTGGCACATGGCAGAGTGTGGCGATGGAGACAGCAGCAATGGGAGGCCGTACAGGGGGCCCATGAGAGACTCTGGACCTGGCAGCAGCATGAGGAGGCGGTATATAGGGGCCCATGGCAGATTAGGGGCCTGGCAGCAGCTATGGGAGGCCCGTAATCTGCCAACACCCTATGTCAAAAAATTCTACACACCAGCAGTGTGAGGAGACCTGAAAGTGGCACATGGCAGAGTGTGGCGATGGAGACTGAGACAGCAGCAATGGGAGGCCGTACAGGGACCCATGACAGACTCTGGACCTGGCAGCAGCATGAGGAGGCGGTATAGGGGCCCATGGCAGATTAGGGGCCTGGCAGCAGCAATGGGAGGCCCGTAATCTGCCAGCACCCTATGTCAAAAAATTCAACACACCAGCAGTGTGAGGAGACCTGAAAGTGGCACATGGCATGTGGCGATGCAGCAGCAATGGGAGGCCGTACAGGGACCCATGACAGACTGGACCTGGCAGCAGCATGAGGAGGCGGTATATAGGGGCCCATGGCAGATTAGGGGCCTGGCAGCAGCTATGGGAGGCCCGTAATCTGCCAGCACCCTATGTCAAAAAATTGAACACACACCAGCAGTGTGAGGAGACCTGAAAGTGGCACATGGCAGAGTGTGGCGATGGAGACAGCAGCAATGGGAGGCCGTACAGGGACCCATGAGAGACTCTGGACCTGGCAGCAGCATGAGGAGGCGGTATATAGGGGCCCATGGCAGATTAGGGGCCTGGCAGCAGCTATGGGAGGCCCGTAATCTGCCAGCACCCTATGTCAAAAAATTCAACACACCAGCAGTGTGAGGAGACCTGAAAGTGGCACATGGCAGAGTGTGGCGATGGAGACAGCAGCAATGGGAGGCCGTACAGGGACCCATGACAGACTCTGGACCTGGCAGCAGCATGAGGAGGCGGTATATAGGGGGCCCATGGCAGATTAGGGGCCTGGCAGCAGCTATGGGAGGCCCGTAATCTGCCAGCACCCTATGTCAAAAAATTCAACACACCAGCAGTGTGTGAGGAGACCTGAAAGTGGCACATGGCAGAGTGTGGCGATGGAGACAGCAGCAAATGGGAGGCCGTACAGGGACCCATGAGAGACTCTGGACCTGGCAGCAGCATGAGGAGGCGGTATATAGGGGCCTATGGCAGATTAGGGGCCTGGGCAGCTATGGGAGGCCCGTAATCTGCCAGCACCCTATGTCAAAAAATTCTACACACCAGCAGTGTGTGAGGAGACCTGAAAGTGGCACATGGCAGAGTGTGGCGATGGAGACAGCAGCAATGGGAGGCCGTACAGGGACCCATGACAGACTCTGGACCTGGCAGCAGCATGAGGAGGCGGTATATAGGGGCCTATGGCAGATTAGGGGCCTGGCAGCAGCTATGGGAGGCCCGTAATCTGCCAGCACCCTATGTCAAAAAATTCAACACACCAGCAGTGTGAGGAGACCTGAAAGTGGCACATGGCAGAGTGTGGCGATGGAGACAGCAGCAATGGACCGTACAGGGACCCATGACAGACTCTGGACCTGGCAGCAGCATGAGGAGGCGGTATAGGGGCCCATGGCAGATTAGGGGCCTGGCAGCAGCTATGGGAGGCCCGTAATCTGCCAGCACCCTATGTCAAAAAATTCAACACACCAGCAGTGTGAGGAGACGAAAGTGGCACATGGCAGAGTGTGTGGCGATGGAGACAGCAGCAATGGGAGGCCGTACAGGGACCCATGAGAGACTCTGGACCTGGCAGCAGCATGAGGAGGGCGGTATATAGGGGCCCATGGCAGATTAGGGGCCTGGCAGCAGCTATGGAGGCCCGTAATCTGCCAGCACCCTATGTCAAAAAATTCAACACACCAGCAGTGTGAGGAGACCTGAAAGTGGCACATGGCAGAGTGTGGCGATGGAGACAGCAGCAGCAATGGGAGGCCGTACAGGGACCCATGAGAGACTCTGGACCTGGCAGCAGCATGAGGAGGCGGTATATAGGGGCCCATGGCAGATTAGGGGCCTGGCAGCAGCTATGGGAGGCCCGTAATCTGCCAGCACCCTATGTCAAAAAATTCAACACACCAGCAGTGTGTGAGGAGACCTGAAAGTGGCACATGGCAGAGTGTGGCGATGGAGACAGCAGCAATGGGAGGCCGTACAGGGACCCATGACAGACTCTGGACCTGGCAGCAGCATGAGGAGGCGGTATATAGGGGCCCATGGCAGATTAGGGGCCTGGCAGCAGCTATGGGAGGCCCGTAATCTGCCAGCACCCTATGTCAAAAAATTCAACACACCAGCAGTGTGTGAGGAGACCTGAAAGTGGCACATGGCAGAGTGTGGCGATGGAGACAGCAGCAATGGGAGGCCGTACAGGGACCCATGAGAGACTCTGGACCTGGCAGCAGCATGAGGAGGCGGTATATAGGGGCCCATGGCAGATTAGGGGCCTGGCAGCAGCTATGGGAGGCCCGTAATCTGCCAGCACCCTATGTCAAAAAATTCACACACACCAGCAGTGTGAGGAGACCTGAAAGTGGCACATGGCAGAGTGTGGCGATGGAGACAGCAGCAATGGGAGGCCGTACAGGGACCCATGAGAGACTCTGGACCTGGCAGCAGCATGAGGAGGCGGTATATATGGGGGCCCATGGCAGATTAGGGGCCTGGCAGCAGCTATGGGAGGCCCGTAATCTGCCAGCACCCTATGTCAAAAAATTCAACACACCAGCAGTGTGAGGAGACCTGAAAGTGGCACATGGCAGCAGAGTGTGGCGATGGAGACAGCAGCAATGGGATGGACCTGTAGCAGGGACCCATGAAGACTCTGGGACCTGGCAGCATAGAGGAGGCGGTATATAGGGGCCCATGGCAGATTAGGGGGCCTGGCAGCAGCTATGGGAGGCCCGTAATCTGCCAGCACCCTATGTCAAAAAATTGAACACACCAGCAGCAGTGTGTGAGGAGACCTGAAAGTGGCACATGGCAGAGTGTGGCGATGGAGACAGCAGCAATGGGAGGCCCGTACAGGGACCCATGAGAGACTCTGGACTTGGCAGCAGCATGAGGAGGCGGTATATAGGGGCCCATGGCAGATTAGGGCCTGGCAGCAGCTATGGGAGGCCCGTAATCTGCCAGCACCCTATGTCAAAAAATTCTACACACCAGCAGTGTGTGAGGAGACCTGAAAGTGCACATGGCAGAGTGTGGCGATGGAGACAGCAGCAATGGGAGGCCCGTACAGGGACCCATGAGAGACTCTGGACCTGGCAGCAGCATGAGGAGGCGGTATATAGGGGCCTATGGCAGATTAGGGGCCTGGCAGCAGCTATGGGAGGCCCGTAATCTGCCAGCACCCTATGTCAAAAAATTCAACACACCAGCAGTGTGTGAGGAGACCTGAAAGTGGCATGGCAGAGTGGCATGAGACACAGAGCAATGGGACCTGTACAGGACCCATGAGAGACTCTGGCCTGGCAGCAGCATGAGGAGTATATAGGGCCCATGGCAGATTAGGGCCTGGCAGCAGCTATGGGAGGCCCGTAATCTGCCAGCACCCTATGTCAAAAAATTTGAACACACCAGCAGTGTGTGAGGAGACCTGAAAGTGGCACATGGCAGAGTGTGGCGATGGAGACAGCAGCAATGGGAGGCCGTACAGGGACCCATGAGAGACTCTGGACCTGGCAGCAGCATGAGGAGGCGGTATATAGGGGCCTATGGCAATTAGGGGCCTGGCAGCAGCTAATAGAGGCCCGTAATCTGCCAGCACCCTATGTCAAAAAATTCTACACACCAGCAGTGTGTGAGGAGACCTGAAAGTGGCACATGGCATGGGAGTGTGGCGATGGAGACCCTCAGCAATGGGAGGCCCCAACAAACAGGGGGACCCATGAAGACTATGTGGACCCCCCAGCAGCATGAGGAGGCGGTATATAGGGGCCCATATGGCAGATTAGGGGCCTGGCAGCAGCCCAGGCCCCCCCTCCCTGCCAGCACCCTATGTCAAAAAAATTACACCCCCAGTGTGAGGAGATACCCCCCCCCACATGGCAGAGTGTGGCCCCCCAACAAGCAGCAATGGGAGGGTTTCCTCCCAGGAGAGACCCCCCCCCCCATGCAGACTCAAAAATGCAATGGCACAGCAAAACTATGGCCCCCCCCCACTTATGTGGGCCATGATCATAAGACTGGACCCCCCCCCCC